GTTTTATATATAGTATATATATAGTAGGTCTACCCTATAGAAAGCTGATGGGAGCCTCTTTTTATTAGCGGCCATCACTCCGTTTTCTCACCCAATTGCATAGCCTATGGAAATGTTGCACAACATGAGCTCATGGGCTATCATGAAGTGTTTGATTAGATTTTCGAATACATTTGCATTGATGTCAGAGGGATTAGAGGGACAATAGAGTGCTGAGTACCAGGCAGTTAGCAAGTTTGGTAGGCTACTAATGACCATGAGCGGCATCAGAGCTTGGAGAAGCCTAATTACCGTGACTAAACGGTAATATGGAATTTGACCTCCTTCATGACTCGTGACCGCCGGTGTGGTGGTAATAAGGTCACCGCAACATCCCTAGGTTGAATTAGAACACACACACTACAGAGGGTCAACAAGGCTGGGAGCTGGTCTAGTTAGTGCCTGTTTGGGTATTGTCAGGAACAGAGAGGGAGAGACTGAGACAGAGAAACAGAACAGTCATTGTGCAGAGCAGTGACAGAGAGAGGCCAGTGGAGACTAAAACAGAGAGGTGGGAGGCCAGTGGGGACTGAGACAGAGAGGTGGGAGGCCAGTGGAGACTGAGACAGAGAGGTGGGAGGTCAGTGGAGACTGAGACAGAGAGGTGGGAGGTCAGTGGAGACTGAGACAGAGAGGTGGGAGGTCAGTGGAGACTGCGGCAGAGAGGTGGGAAGCCAGTGGAGACCGAGATAGAGTGGTGGAGGTTTAGTGGAGACTGAAACAGAGAGGTGGGAGACCAGTGGAGACTGAGACAGAGAGGTGGGAGGTCAGTGGAGACTGAGACAGAGAGGTGGGAGGTCAGTGGAGACTGAGACAGAGAGGTGGGAGATGGGAGGTCAGTGGAGATGAGACAGAGAGGTGGGAGGTCAGTGGAGATGAGACAGAGAGGTGGGAGGTCAGTGGAAACTGAGACAGAGAGGTGGGAGGTCAGTGGAGTGTGTTGTGTGTCTCTGAGCAGAAAGGGAAGCTTTCATTAGCAGAACCAGGGTGGGCTACAGGAGACTGCTGGAGCAGCAGAGAGTGAGAGAGAGAGGCAGAGAGATGTAGAGACAGATATTGTTTACATGTGTTTCCCATGGAAGCTGATTGAGACAGGAAATGGCTGTGTATGTGAGTGGAGGAAATGCTGATATTTGAAACCTTTTAACTCGTAATGTGGTTTAGCTCAATTTGCGGCTCCATTCCAGTCCAAAGAATGTCAGAAACTAGTTATCTCTGTAGTGGTGGATTGGAGCCAAGCTCTGACTCAGCAGGGATCCTCTTCTGCTGACTAGGCTTTGCTGGTTTTCCCTAGTATATAATTTTTGTGTTTGCTTGTGTGTGTGTGTGTGTGTGTGTGTGTGTGTCACACAGGTAAAGTCACATCAGTGGAGGCATGCAAACACACTCAGTCACTGGACTCCAGTGACCTTTACTTACACTCTCGCATGCACACTATGTCATAATCGCTACAACACACACTATAAGATACTCCGTTGCATTTTCTACAACATAATTTCTCTCTCGCTCTCGCTCTTTCTCTCTCTCTCTCTCTCTCTCTCTCTCTCTCGCTCTCTCTCTCTCTCTCTCTCTCTAACATAAGCGTCACTCTACACTGGGCCAACTGTTGATCCTAGTCTGATGGCCGCATGTCCCCTCCCCTTCTGAAATCATGATTTGTTCAAAGCACCGGAACTAATGCTGCTTTTTATCTTACGCATCCTGTTGTACCATGACAGATCTATGGTACCATTTCTGTTGACGTAGTCTGTCCACGAGGGATTTAACTCAACCTATGACCTGACCTATCACCTTAATATGTATTACTGCCCCCCAGTTGCAAGAAGTGACATCCCAAAAAACACTATACAACACAAATGGCTCCTAGCCTGGCCCATGCATGCTTTCTGAACCTTACACTAAAACTGAAAAATATAAATATTTTTTTACAACTGAAACTAAACAAAAACTAGCATAACAGGTCTGAAAACTGAAACTAAACTGAATTCCAAATAAAATTTGATAACATATTTAATCAACCTACTACAGTGAGGGAAAAAAGCATTTGATCCCCTGCTGATTTTGTACGTTTGCCCACTGACAAAGAAATTATCAGTCTATAATTTTAATGGTAGGTTTATTTGAACAGTGAAAGACAGAATAACAACAAAAAAATCCAGAAAAACGCATGTCAAAAATGTTATAAATTGATTTGCATTTTAAAGAGGGAAATAAGTATTTGACCCCCTCTCAATCAGAAAGATTTCTGGCTCCCAGGTGTCTTTTATACAGGTAATGAGCTGAGATTAGGAGCACACTCTTAAAGGGAGTGCTCCTAATCTCAGTTTGTTACCTGTATAAAAGACACCTGTCCACAGAAGCAATCCATCAATCAGATTCCAAACTCTCCACCATAGCCAAGACCAAAGAGCTCTCCAAGGATGTCAGGGACAAGATTGTAGACCTACACAAGGCTGGAATGGGCTACAAGACCATTGCCAAGCAGCTTGGTGAGAAGGTGACAACAGTTGGTGCGATTATTCGCAAATGGAAGAAACACAAAAGAACTGTCAATCTCCCTCGGCCTGGGGCTCCATGCAAGTTCTCACCTCGTGGAGTTGCAATGATCATGAGAACGGTGAGGAATCAGCCCAGAACTACACGGGAGGATCTTGTCAATGATCTCAAGGCAGCTGGGACCATAGTCACCAAGAAAACAATTGGTAACACACTACGCCGTGAAGGACTGAAATCCTGCAGCGCCCGCAAGGTCCCCCTGCTCAAGAAAGCACATATACAGGCCCGTCTGAAGTTTGCCAATGAACATCTGAATGATTCAGAGGAGAACTGGGTGAAAGTGTTGTGGTATTTGATCCCCTGCTGATTTTGTACATTTGCCCACTGACAAAGAAATGATCAGTCTATAATTTTAATGGTAGGTTTATTTGAACAGTGAGAGAGAATAACAACAACAAAATCCAGAAAAACGCATGTCAAAAATGTTATAAATTGATTTGCATTTTAAAGAGGGAAATAAGTATTTGACCCCTCTACAAAACATGACTTAGTACTTGGTGGCAAAACCCTTGTTGGCAATCACAGAGGTCAGACGTTTCTTGTTGTTGGCCACCAGGTTTCCACACATCTCAGGAGGGATTTTGTTCCACTCCTCTTTGCAGATCTTCTCCAAGTCATTAAGGTTTCGAGGCTGACGTTTGGCAACTCGAACCTTCAGCTCCCTCCACAGATTTTCTATGGGAATAAGGTCTGGAGACTGGCTAGGCCACTCCAGGACCTTAATGTGCTTCTTCTTGAGCCACTCCTTTGTTGCCTTGGCCGTGTGTTTTTGGTCATTGTCATGCTGGAATACCCCATCCACGACCCATTTTCAATGCCCTGGCTAAGGGAAGGAGGTTCTCACCCAAGATTTGACGGTACATGGCCCCGTCCATCGTCCCTTTGATGCGGTGAAGTTGTCCTGTCCCCTTAGCAGAAAAACACCCCCAAAGCATAATGTTTCCACCTCCATGTTTGACGGTGGGAATGGTGTTCTTGGGGTCATAGGCAGCATTCCTCCTCCTCCAAACACAGCGAGATGAGTTGATGCCAAAGAGCTCGATTTTGGTCTCATCTGACCACAACACTTTCACCCAGTTCTCCTCTGAATCATTCAGATGTTCATTGGCAAACTTCAGACGGGCCTGTATATGTGCTTTCTTGAGCAGGGGGACCTTGCGGGCGCTGCAGGAGTTCAGTCCTTCACAGCGTAATGTGTTACCAATTGTTTTCTTGGTGACTATGGTCCCAGCTGCCTTGAGATCATTGACAAGATCCTCCCGTGTAGTTCTGGGCTGATTCCTCACCGTTCTCATGATCATTGCAACTCCACGAGGTGAGATCTTGCATGGAGCCCCAGGCCGAGGGAGATTGACAGTTCTTTTGTGTTTCTTCCATTTGCGAATAATCGCACCAACTGTTGTCACCTTTTCACCAAGCTGCTTGGCGATGGTCTTGTAGCCCATTTCTGCCTTGTGTAGGTTTACAATCTTGTCCCTGACATCCTTGGAGAGCTCTTTGGTCTTGGCCATGGTGGAGAGTTTGGAATCTGATTGATTGATTGCTTCTGTGGACAGGTGTCTTTTATACAGGTAACAAACTGAGATTCGGAGCACTCCCTTTAAGAGTGTGCTCCTAATCTCAGCTCGTTACTTGTATAAAAGAAACCTGGAAGCCAGAAACCTTTCTGATTGAGAGGGGGTCAAATACTTATTTCCCTCATTAAAATGCAAATCAAATTATAAAATTGTTGACATGCGTTTTTCTGGATTTTTTTGTTGTTATTCTGTCTCTCACTGTTCAAATAAACCTACCATTATAATTATAGACTGATCATTTATTTGTCAGTGGGCAAACGTACAAAATCAGCAGAGGATCAAATACTTTTTTCCCTCACTGTATATATATATATATATATATATATATATATATATATATATATATATATATATATATATATATATATATATAATAAAACACAAGCAGGCTTCATTCAATAAGAATGTGTGTTTGAGAGAATAGGGTCACGGTGTGAGTGAGAAATGGACAGAGCGAGATTGAGAGGAGAGTTAATGATGTGGTGTTAGTGAATGATTTCCCTGGTCAGTGGTGTTCTATTGACTGTAAATCACATTAGGCCTGATGGTTGAGCCAGCGCCTGAGAGAACACACCCTCAGGGGCCTTTCTGAGAGAGAGAAAGAGAGCGAGAGAAAGAGATCTGGTAATTTGTGAATGGAGCAAGAGAGATGGAAAGAGAGTTGGAAATGTGTGATTGAAGAAAAGAGAGGAGTGTTGTAATAAAATGATGTTCTCACACTTATGGGTGAAACAGTGAAGTGGCTCGCACACTTGAGCCTCCATGGTGAGCAGGCTTTGGGCTGGGGTGAATCTGGGTTCTCTGTGCTACATGTGTTTGTGTTTTCAGGTGGTGAAGACAGTGGGTCTCCGGGAGGTGTGGTTCTTTGGCATGCAGTACACAGACAGTAAAGGCTACAGCACGTGGCTCAAACTCAACAAGAAGGTGACCCAGCAGGATGTTAAGAAGGAGAACCCTCTACAGTTTAAGTTCAGAGCCAAGTTCTTCCCTGAGGACGTGTCTGAGGAACTCATCCAGGAGATCACACAGAGACTCTTCTTCCTGCAGGTAACACACACACACACACACACTTATACTGAACAAAAATATAAACACAACATGTTAAGTTTTGTTCCCATGTTTCATAAGTGAGCATTTCTCCTTTGCCAAGATAACCCATCTACCTGACAGGTGTGGCATATCAAGAAGCTGATTAAACAGCATGATAATTTCACAGGTGCATCTTGTGCTAGGACAATAAAAGGCCACTCTAAAATGTGCAGATTTGTCACACAACACAATGCCACAGATGTCTCAAGTTTTGAGGGAGCATGCAATTGGCATGCTGACTGCAGGATTGTCCACCTGAGCTGTTGCCAGATAATTTAATGTTCATTTCTCCACAATAAGCCGCCTCCAACTTCATTTGAGAGAATTTGGTAGTACGTCCAACCGACCACGTGTAACCACGCCAGCCCAGGACCTCCACATCTGGAGTCTTCACCTGCGGGATCCTCTGAGACCAGCCACCCGAGCAGCTGTGGGTTTGCACAACCGCAAGATTTCTGCACAAACTGTCAGAAACCGTCTCAGCGAAGCTCATTTGCGTGCTCGTCGTCCTCACCAGGGTCTTGACCTTACTGCAGTCCGGCTTCGTAACCGACTTCAGTGGGCTTGTTTGGGATGCTCTAGATCGACCTGTACGACAGTGAGTCCCAGATCCCGCCAATATCCAGCAACTTCGCACAGCCATTAAAGAGGACTGGGACAACATTCCACAGGCCACAATCAGCAGCCTGATCAACTTTATGCGAAGAAGATGTGTCACGCTGCATGATGCAATGGTGGTCACACCAGATACTGACTGGTTTTCTGACCCACGCCCCTACCTTTAGGTATCTGTGACCAACAGATGTATTCCCAGTCATGTGAAATCCATAGATTATGGCCTAATTAATTTATTTCAATTGACTGATTTCCTTAAATGAACTGTAACTCAGTAAAATCTTTGAAATTGTTGCATGTTACATTTATATTTTTGTTCAGTGTTTATTGGTGTCCTTTGTACTCACAATGTACATTGCAGATCCAAAAAGGTATTTAAACAAGTATGTGTGTGTGTGTGTTCCCTGCCCATGCAAGGTAAAGGAGGCCATCCTGAACGATGAGAACTACTGTCCTCCAGAGACAGCCGTGCTGCTGGCCTCCTACTCTGTCCAGGCCAAGTACACAGACTACAGCAGAGACCTCCACAGGCCTGGCTACCTCACCTCCGACCGCCTGCTGCCACAGAGGTCTGTACCCCACGCACACCCTGTCCCCTCTCTGTCCCCTCTCTGTCCCCTCTCTGTTCCCTCTCTGTCCCCTCTCTGTTCCCCTCTCTGTCCCCTCTCTGTCCCCTCTCTGTCCCCTCTCTGTCCCCTCTCTGTTCCCCTCTCTGTCCCCTCTCTGTCCCCTCTCTGTTCCCTCTCTGTCCCCTCTCTGTCCCCTCTCTGTTCCCTCTCTGTCCCCTCTCTGTCCCCTCTCTGTTCCCCTCTCTGTCCCCTCTCTGTCCCCTCTCTGTTCCCCTCTCTGTCCCCTCTCTGTCCCCTCTCTGTCCCCTCTCTGTTCCCCTCTAAACCTCTCTGTACAGCAGAGACCTCCACATCTCCCCCCACACTTCCTCTGCCCCTCTCTGTCCCACTCAAAGAATACCAGGGGAAGAGTCTTGCTGTCATAGTAACCTTCTTGTCATAGTAACCTTGCTGTCATAGTAACACAGAGGAGTCTCTATTGAAATTGTCCCTACTATGGTTGAGGAGGCTGGAATGTCCTTCTACTTAATTAATTCTCTCCATACTCCCCCTTTAGAGTGTGTGCTGGAGGGAGGGAGGGAGTGTGTGCTTTGTAAAGGAGTTGTTCTTTAGTAGAGTGACTTGACCCTCCCTCACTATAAATCTGTTCTGTCTTTTGATGCCAGGCCTCTAGTGTGGCTCTGTTTGAATAACCCGTTGTGTGTGTTTGTGTGTCCTGCAGAGTCTTGGAGCAGCACAAGTTGACTAAGGAGCAGTGGGAGGACAGAATACAGACCTGGCACGAGGAACACAGAGGCATGCTCAGGTAGGGCTTTGTATGATATAATAATAATGTAAATGTATGAGGGTGTCTATATGTGAGTGTGTTTGTATGAGGGTGTTAGTGTCATACTTGCTCCTGTACACAAGTTCTAAATGTTTCTAACGTGTGTTTGTGTACACAGAGAGGACTCAATTATGGAATATCTGAAGATAGCCCAGGACCTAGAGATGTATGGAGTCAACTACTTTGAGATCAAGAACAAAAAGGGAACTGAGTTGTGGCTGGGTGTGGATGCACTGGGACTCAATATCTACGAACACGAGGACAAGTACGCAATACTGACATATACAGTTTTTGAGTTATTTTAGAGTGGAATGTGGAATATGCATTTCATCCACTAAGGTGGAATGTAAGAGAACCTTTGTGGCTACATGAGCATGGCCTTGTCAGATATACTCCATGACACTATCGCCCTCTTCTGGCCATGGATGGTACCTCTAGTTTCATTTCGTACTACACTGATATAGGTGGGTAGTTCCTTCACATGGCATAGTACTGTACTAGCATAGTGTTGAGACAGTCAGTGTTTTTCCTTCCCTCTTCCACAGGTTGACACCAAAGATTGGCTTCCCCTGGAGCGAGATCAGGAACATCTCCTTCAGCGACAAGAAGTTTGTCATCAAACCCATTGACAAGAAAGCCCCAGTAAGTCAGTCTACCGGGAAGGTAGGGTTAGGTTTAGGGTTAGTCAGTCTACTGGGAAGGTATGGTTAGGTTTAGGGTTAATTAGTCTACTGGGAAGGTATGGTTAGGTTTAGGGTTAGTCAGTCTACTGGGAAGGTAGGGTTAGGTTTAGGGTTAGTCAGTCTACTGGGAAGGTAGGGTTAGGTTTAGGGTTAGTCATTCTACTGGGAAGGTAGGGTTAGGTTTAGGGTTAGTCAGTCTACTGGGAAGGTAGGGCTAGGTTTAGGGTTAGTCAGTCTACTGGGAAGGTAGGGTTAGGTTTAGGGTTAGTCAGTCTACCGGGAAGGTAGGGTTAGGTTTAGGGTTAGTCAGTCTACCGGGAAGGTAGGGTTAGGTTTAGGGTTAGTCAGTCTACTGGGAAGGTAGGGTTAGGTTTAGGGTTAGTCATTCTACTGAGAAGGTAAGGTTAGGTTTAGGGTTAATCAGTCTACCGGAAAGGTAGCGTTAGGTTTAGGGTTAATTAGTCTACCTAAAAGGTAGGGTTAGGGTTTAGGGTTAGTCAGTCTACTGGGAAGGAAGGGATAGGTTTAGGGTTAGTCAGATCAAACGGGAAAAGGTGGGGGTTGGGTTTGGGGGTTGGGTCATTCTACTGAGGGGGAAAAAAAAAAAAGGGTTGGGTTTTGGGGTTTTAATCGCCCAAACCCCGGAAAGGTAGGGTTGGGTTTTGGGGGTTTAAATTGTCTACCGGGAACGTAGTTTAGGATTGTCATTCTACGGGGAAAAAACGGTTTTGGGTTTTGGGGTTTAAAGTCATTCACGGGGAAAGGTGGGTTTTATTTTTTGGGGGTTTAAAATCACTCTACCGAGGGTAGGGTTTTTTTGGGGTTTACTCAGTTACCGGGAGGGTGGGGTTTTGGTTTAGGGGTTAGTCTCAAAACCCGGGAAGGGGTAGGGGTTTTGGGTTTAAAGGGTTGGGTTCAGTCTACGGGGAAGGTAGTTTTTAGGTTTGGGGTTAGTCAGTCCCGGGGAAGGTGGGGGGGGGGTTTTTAAGGGTTGCCCGTCCCTGGAAATGAAGGGTTGGGTTTTTAAGGGTTAGTCAGTCTACGGGGGGGTGAAATTTAAAGTTTAGGGAAAGGGTCACCCTACCGAAAAACTAGGTTTTGGGTTTGGGGTGTCAGTCACGGGGAAGGTGGGTTGGGTTTTTGGGTTTTAGTCAGTCTACTGGGAAGGTGGGGTTAGGTTTAGGGCCCTTTTCCACAGTTTTAAAAAAAGGAATTTAGGTTATTTAAAGGGTTAGTCATTTTAAACCGGGGAAAAGGTGAGGTTTGGGGTTTAGTGTCTACTGGGAAGGTATGGTTAGTTTTAAAAGGTTTTATCCCTGCACTGTAAAAGTTGGGGTTGGGTTTAGGGTTAGTCAGTTACGGGGGAAGGTAATTTTTGGGCTTTGCCCAGCCCCTACTGGGAAGGTGGGGTTTAAAGGTTTAGGGGTTAGTCAGTCTACGGGGAAGGTAGGTTTTAGGTTAGGGTCTTTTCATCTCCCCCAGAAAATTTAGGGTTGGGGTTTTGGGTTGGTCATTCTCCCGGGGAAGGTAGGGTTAGGTTTTTAGGTTGGGCCCAGTCTACTGTGAAGGTGGGGTTAGGTTGGGGTTTTTGTCAGCCCTTTTCCCGAAAAGGTGGGGTTTTGGGTTTTTTGGGGTTTCCCATTCTACAGGGAAAGGGTAGGGTTTTTGGGGGTTTAGGGGTTTGTCAGTCTACGGGGAAGGGAAAAGGTTTTAGGGTTAGCAGTCTCCCGGGGGAACGTATGGTTGGGTTTTTAGGGTTAGTCAGTCACGGGAAAGGTAGGGTTGGTTTGGGTTATCAGTCATTTGGGAAGGAAAGGTTTGGGGGTTAAAGTCATACTACCGAAAAAGTAGTTTTGAGTTTTTTTTTTTTTTGGGTTATTCGTCTAGGGGGTTGTAGGGTTGGGTTTTAAAGGGTTTTAGTCTTCTACCGGGGAAGGTAAGGTTTTTGGGGTTTAGTCATTCTACCGGGAAGGTAGGGTTGGGTTTGGGGGTTTAGTCGTTACTGGAAGGGTAGGTTAGGGTTGGGTTTTTGTCGTTTTCCCAAAAGGGGTAGGCTTGGTTTTGGGGTTTGTTCCCTGGAAGATAGGGTTTTTTAGGGTTTTGTCATCTAGGGGAAGGAAAGGGGTTTGGGGTTAGTCATCTACCGGGAACGTATGTTGGGTTTGGGGTTAGCATCTACTGGAAGGTAGGGTTGGTTTAGGGTTAGTCAGTCTACGGGAAGGGAAAAGGGTTTTTAGGTTAGTTACTACCGAAAAAGTAGGTTATTTTAGGGTTAGTCAGTCTACCGGGGATGGTAGGGTTGGGTTTAGGGTTAGTCAGTCTACCTGAAGGTAAGGGTTTTAGGGTTAGTCATTCTACCGAAAGGTAGGGTTGGGTTTTAGGTTTTAACAGTCTAATGGAAGGTAGGGTTGGTTTGGGGTTTTGTCATTTACGGGGGGAAAGGGTTTTGGGTTTTAGCAGTCTACCGGGAACAATGGTTGGGTTTGGGTTATCAGTTACAAGGTGGGTTTTTGGTTAGTGTCTAGGGGAAAACGAGTTTTTGTTTGGGGTTATCAGTCTACTGGAACCATGGGTTGTTTTGGGTTAGTCAGTCTACGGGGAACAGAGGTTAGGTTTGGGGTTTTCATCTACGGGAAGGTAGGGTTAGGTTTAGGTTAATCTCTACTGGGGAAAGGGGGGTAAGGTTTTGGGTTGAAAGTCTCCGGGAAAGGGTTAAAAATTGGGTTTTGGGGTTAGTCTCTAGGGAAGGTAAGGTTTGGGGTTTAACTCACTGAAAAATCTTATTTTAGGTTTGTCTTACTGGGAAAGTACGGTTGGGTTTGGGTTAGTCATCTTGGGAAAGTAGGGTTTTGGTTTGGGGGTTAGTCGTTTCTGGAAGGTGGGTTGGTTTTGGGGTTTAGAGTCTACGGAGGTGGGTTTTTTTGGGGTTATCATTACGGGGAAAGGGCAGGGTTGGTTTAGGGTTGTCCCCACGGGGAAGGTAGGGTTAGGTTTGGGGGTTAGTCAGTCTAGGGGAAGGTGGGGTTGGTTTTGGGTTAGTATTACGGGGAAGGTGGGGTTGGGGTTTTAGGGTTGTCATTCTACGGGAGGTAGGGAGGTTTAGGTTTATCAGTCTCGGGAAGGTAGGGTTGGTTTTTGGGGTTATCAGTCTCTGGGGGGTAGGGTTAGGTTTGGGGTTGTCATTAGGGAAAGGGTGGGGTTGGGTTTTGGGTTAGTGTTCCGGGGGAAAGGTAGCGAGGTTTTAGGGTTAGTCAGTCTAGGGGAAGGGTGGGTTAGGTTTAGGGTTAGTCAGTCTCGGGAAGGTGGGTTAGGGTTTGGGGTTTAGTCACCCCCGGGAAAAGGTAGGGTTGGGTTTTTAGGGTTATCAGTCTACCGGGAAGGTAGCTTTAGGTTTTGGGGGTTAGTCAGTCTATGGGAAGGTAGGGTTGGGTTTTGGGGTTTTAGTCATTCGGGGAGGTAGGGTTGGGTTTTTGGGGTTACAGTCTACGGGGAAAGGTAGGGTTAGGTTTGGGTTAGTCATTAGGGAAGGGGGGGTTATTTTGGGGTTTTAGTCAGTCTACGGGGAAAGGAAGGTTTAGGTTAGTCATTCTCGGGAAGGTAGGGTTGGGTTTAGGGTTAGTAGTTAGGGGAAAGGGGGGGTTGGGTTTTTAGGGTTATCAGTCTACCGGGAAGGTAGGGTTGGTTTGGGGTTATCATTCCCGGGAAGGACTTAGGTTTAGGGTTAGTCGTCTACTGGGAAGGGGGGTTAGGTTTAGGGTTAGTAGTCTATGGAAGGTAGGGTTGGGTTTGGGGTAGTCATTACGGGGAAGGTGGGGTTTAGGGTTAGTCGCTATTGGGAAGGAGGGTTGGGTTTGGGTTAGTCAGTCTACGGGGAAGGAAGGGTTTTAGGGTTGTCATTTGGAAGGAAAGGGTTTAGGTATCATTTAAATGGGAAAGGTAAGGGTTGGGTTTGGGGTTAGTCGGGGGTCTACCGGGAAGGTAGGTTGGGTTTTAGGGTTAGTCAGTCTACCGGAAGGTGGGTTGGGTTTTGGGGTTAGTAGTCAAACGGGGAAGGGTGGGTTAGGTTTAGGGTTAGCATTTAGAAAAGGGTTATTTTGGGTTTAGGGTTAATCATCACCCCGGAAAGGTAGGGTTGGGTTTTAGGGTTAATTACCCTACCTAAAGGGTGGTTGGGGTTTTAGGGTTAGTCCATCACTGGAAGGAAGGGTGGGTTTAGGGTTAGTCAGTCTCCCGGGGAATTAGGTTGGGTTGGGGTTAGTAAATCATTGAAAGGTGGGGTTAGGTTTAGGTTAGTCTTCTACTGAGAAGGTTAGGTCTAGGGTTAATCAGTCTACTGGAAGGTAGGGTTAGGTTTAGGGTTAATTAGTCTACCGGGAACGTATGTTTATGTTTAGGATTAGTCAGTCTAACTGGGAACAGAGGGTTAGGTTTAGGGTTAATCAGTCTACCGGGACTGTAGGGTTAGGTTTAGGTTAAGTCAGTCTACTGGGAAAGTAGGGTTAGGTTTAGGGTTAGTCAGTCTACCTGGAAGGTAAGGTTAGGTTTAGGGATACTCAGTCTACAGGGAAGGTAGGGTTATGTTTAGGGTTAATCACTCTACCGAGAAGGTAGGGTTAGTTTTAGGGTTACTCAGTTGACGGGATGGTAGGGTTAGGTTTAGGGTTAGTCAGTCTACCGGGAAGGTATGGATACGTTTAGGGTTAGTCAGTCTACTGGGAAGGTAGATTTAGGTTTAGGGTTAGTCAGTCTACTGGGAAGGTAGGGTTAGGTTTAGGGTTAGTCAGTCCACTGGGAATGTAGGGTTAGGTTAGGGTTAGTCAGTCTACTGGGGAGGTAGAATTAAGTTTAGGGTAAGTCAGTCTACGAGAAAACTAGGCTTAGGTTTAGGGTTAGTCAGTCTACTGGGAAGGTAGGGTTAGGTTTATGGTTAGTCAGTCTACTGGGAAGGTAGGGTTTAGG